AAAGTTCCAACTCTCTAATCACAGGGTTGGTTCCTCTGGCAACCAGATCCCACCCTGAGGCTATTCAGGAGTCCACGAAGACTTGCATCATTAGAATAAAAGATACTTCTATCACCCAGGAAATTTCAAGGGATTTAGGAACTCTGTGTTAGGAACTGGAGAGAGAGAGGAAACTTGTATTTCTTTTTGTTTGTTTGTTTTTGAGACAGCGTCTTGCCTTGTTGTCCAGGCTGGAGTGAAATGGCATGATCACAGCTTGCTGTAACCTTGAATTCCTGGGCTCAACTGATCCTACCATTTCAGCCTCCCGAGTAGCTTGGACTACTGGTGAGCACCACCATACTCGGCTAATTTTTTAAAAATTTTATAGAAATGGGGTCTCACCATGTTGCCCAGGCTGGTCTCAAACTTCTGGGCTCAAGCGATCTTCCCACCTCAATCTCCCAAAGTGCTGGGATTACAGGCATAAGCCACTGTGCCTGGCCATGGCCATTTATTATTTTATAATAGCACGACCTTCCATAATGTGGGTGGGTCTCATCCAATTAGTTGAAGTCCTTAATGGAAAAAGACATAGAGGGAATTCTGCCTCTAGACTGCCTTTTTTAGTGAGATAGGGTTTCACTTTGTCACCCAGGCTGGAGTACAGTGGTTCGATCACAGCTCACTGCAGCCTCAACTTCCTGGGTTCACAATCCTCCCACCTCAGCCTCCTGAGTAGCTGGGACTATAGGCATGTGCCACCATGCCTGGCTAATTTTTGTTTTGTATTTTCATAGAGACAGGGTTTCACCATGTTGCCCAGGTTGGTCTCAAATTCCTGGCTCCAAGCAATCTGCCTGCCTTGGCCTCCCAAAGTGCTGGGATTAGAGGTGTGAGCCACCACTCCTGGCTAGACTGCCTTTTAACTTGAGCTGCAACATCCAATTCTCCCTAGGTCTCCAGCCTGCCCTGTGGAATTTGGACTTGCCAGTCCCTATAATCACATGAGCCAATTCCTCAAAATCAATCACTCTTTCCTGCTCTCTTTCTGTCACATGTATACACACACACACACACACACATACACACACACCATTGTTTCTCTGGAGAACTCTAACACAAGTCTCTCTGGAAAGAGCCCAGGGATGCCCTGCCATCTGGCCTGTAATAAAGGCAACAGCAGATCCCTTGTTAATAGTTATTAACACCATTTTTTGTTTGTTTGTTTGAGACAAGGTCTCACTCGGGTGAGAGCCACCACACCTGGCTATACTGGTCTTTGAATCTCCCACTCCCCTCTTTGTTACAGACGGTCCCTCTTCCCAGCCAGGTGCTTCTACCCACAGCAGCAGATTTCTGCCACCTCTGGGCCTTCCATGTGGCTTTCTCTGATCTTGACATCACACCAAGGCCCAGTCACCATTTTACAGTGTCCCCTTAGACTAGGGTCTCTGGAGACACTTCACTTCATAAGCATCTTTTTTTTTTAAAGACAGAGTCTCATGTCTTGTACTATCGCCCAGGCTAGAGCGATCTTGGCTCACTGCAAGGTCAGTCTCGAACTCTCTGCCTCTTGGGTTCAAGTGATTCTCCTGCCTCAGCCTCCTGAGTGGCTGGGATTACAGGTGCGCACCACCACACCCAGCTAATTTTTGTTTGTATTTTTAGTGGAGACAGGGTTTCACTATGTTGGCCAGGCTGGTCTCAAACTCCTGACCTCATGATCTGCCCACCTCGGCCTCCCAAAGTGCTGGGATTACAGGCGTAAACGACATGCCCGGCCCATAAGCATCTTATCTATTCATTCAACGAATATGTATTGATGATGCCTGCTGTGCGGCTAACACTGTAGTCGGGGGCTGAGGGCAGAGGCGCAGGCGAACCTTCTTTGAGGTAGTAAATGGGCATGTATGAGCACTGCAGATGAAACTCACATGCTCAAAGGGCCACGGGCAGACAAAGAAGGGCAGGGTTGGCATTTTGGCAAAGAGAAGACTGTTTACAAAGTGGGGGCCACTCTGGTGCTGTGGCCAATTGTCACCCTGGAGGGATGCAGGCCAGTCACTGCCAGATCTTCCAAACTTTAAAATAAAAGGTAGGCCTGGCTCAGTGGCTCATGCCTATAATCCCAGCACTTTGGGAGGCCAAGATGGGTGGATCTCTTGAGCCCAGAAGTTTGAGACCAGCCTGGGAAACACAGCAAAACCCCATCTTTACAAAAAGTACCAAAAAGTAGCCAGGTGTGTTAGCACACACCTGTAGTCCCAGTAACTCAGGAGGCTGAGGTGGGAGAATCACCTAAGCCCAGGAGGTTGAGGCTGCGGTAACCATGATCATGCCACTGTACTCCAGTGTGGGCAGTGGAGACTCTGTCTTAAAAATCAAGTGAAATAAAATGATTAGCCATGCATGGTGTCATACACCTGTAGTCCCAACTACTTGGAAAGGTCCCAGCCTGGTGAGGTTGAGGCCATGGTGAGCCATGATTGCAGACCTATACTCCAGCCTGGACGATAGAGTGAGACCCCATCTCAAATAAATAGATAAATAAATAAAAGGCAGAAAGGTGGATTTTACATGAAATTGGATTCACCAAAGTTAACTATTAACATGATTCAAACACTTTTCTTTTCTTTCTTTTTTTTTTGAGACAGAGTCTTGCTTGTTGCCCAGGGAGGAATACAATGGCACGATCTCAGCTCACTGCAACGTCTGCCTCCCGGGTTCAAGCAATGCTGCTGTCTCAGCCTCCTGAGTAGCTGGGATTACGGGAGCATGCCACTGCACCCGGCTAATTTTTGTATTTTTAGTAGAGACGGGGGTTTTACCATGTTGGTCAGGCTGGTCTCAAACTCCTGACCTCATGATCTGCCCACTTCGGCCTTCCAAGTGCTGGGATTACAGCTGTGAGCCACCACCCCCCACCACATTTTTCTTTTCTAATAGAGATGGTGGTGGGGGGGGGTCTCACTATGTTCACCAGGCCAGTCTCGAACTCTTGGCCTCAAGTGATCCTCCTGCCTCGGCCTCCCAAAGCATTGAGATTACAGGCATGAGCCACCAAGCCTGGCCCAAAATGACTTTTTCTTTTTCGTTTTTTGAGACCGAGTCTCTCTTTTGTTGCCCAGGCTGGAGTGTAATGGCACTATCTTGGCTCATTGCAACCTCTGCCTCCAGGGTTCAAGTGATTCTCCTGCCTCCGCCTCCCGAGTAGCTGAGATTACAGGCCAGCACCTCCATGCCCAGCTAATTTTTGTATTTTGGCATTTTTAGTAGAGACAGGGTTTTACCATGTTGGCCAGGTTGGTCTTGAACTCCTGACCAGGAGTGATCCACCTGCCTCAGCCTCCCAAAATGCTGGGATTTACAGGCATGAGCCACTGCGCCCTGCCCCAAACTGATATTTTAAAACACTAAGGAGGCTGGGCACAGTGGCTCACACCTGTAATCCCAGCACTTTGAGAAGCCAAGGGGGGCAGATCACTTGAGGCCAGGACTTTGAGACCAGCCTGGCCAACATGGTGAAACCCCGTCTCTACTAAAAATACCAAAAAATTAGGTGGGTATGGCGGTGCTTGCCTGTAATCTCACTACTCACGAGGCTGAGGAAGGAGAATCACTGGAACCCAGGAGGCAGATGTTGCAGTAAGCTGAGATCGTGCCACTGCACTCCAGCCTGGGTGATAGAGGGAGACTCTGTCTTAAAAAAATAATAATAGGGCCAGTTGTGGTGGCTCACACCTGTAATCCCAGCACTTTGGGAGGTCAAGCGGGGTTGGTGGATCACCTGAGGTCAGGAGGTTGAGACCAGCCTGGCTAACATGGCAAAATCCCGTCTTTACTAAAAAAAAAAAAAATATATATATATATATATATGCAAAAAGCCAGGAATGGTGGTGCACACCTCTAATCCCAGCTACTCAGGAGGCTGAGGCAGGAGAATCGCTTAAACCCAGGAGGCAGAGGTTGCAGGGAGCCAAGATCATGCCACTGCACTCCAGCCTGGACAACAAGAGCGAAACTCCATCTCAAAAAAGGCCAGGCACGGTGGCTCACGCCTGTAATCCCAGCACTTTGGGAGGCCGAGGCGGGTGGATCACGAGGTGAAGAGATCGAGACCATCCTGGTCAACATGGTGAAACCCCGTCTCTACTAAAAATATAAAAACTTAGCTGGGCATGGTGGCACGTGCCTGTAATCCCAGCTACTCAGGAGGCTGAGGCAGGAGAATTGCCTGAACCCAGGAGGTGGAGGTTGCGGTGAGCCGAGATCGCGCCATTGCACTCCAGCCTGGGTAACAAGAGCGAAACTCCGTCTCAAAAAAAAAGAATTTGTGTGTGTTGGGGCGGGCGGAGGGGGCATGTGGACACAAGGTCTCTGCCCTGGGAGAAGTGCTGGGGAGTGGGAGAAATCCACAGGCTGAGTGGAGTAACAATTTAAATGATCAAACACCACTACCACCCTTCCCCCAACCCCAAGTACCACTACTTCGGACAGGGAGCTACCCCAACTTCGCACTGGCCAGAATCCCAGTTCTAGTCTTTTCTGTGCCACCAACCCCTGGGCCCTCTTTATAAAGAGAAAGAAAACACCTTTGGTTTTTTGTCCATTTGTAGCCCAGAGCTACAGACACCTGCAGTAGGAGCAGGCAGGAGATGCGTGGTGGATAGACCAGAGAGACTTGGGATAGAATTCCACTCTCACCCCCAGTTTAGTTTTCGTCAGCTTGCTGCTCTAAACAGGCAGAATGTGAAAATTAAGATGCCTTCCCCACTCGCACCCCCAGTTCAGTTTTCTCTAGCTTGCTGCTCCAAACAGGCAGAAGTGAAAATTTAGGTGCTTTTTCCCCCCTATAAAATAGGGCCGACGAGGATGGGATTCGAACCCACGCGTGCAAAGCACAATGGATTAGCAGTCCATCGCCTTAACCACTCGGCCACCTCGTCCTACGTGGAACAGCTCTTTCCACATTCCCTTATCTCTCATCTCCTCCGCACCTTCCGAGCACTGCCACCCACCTGGCAACGCCAACCTCCTCGGACCCGGGGAAAAGAGAAGCCGCGGGAGGAAAGGAGCGTTTTGATTTCCTTTCAGCCGGGAGCCCGCGCCATCCTTCACCATGCTGCAGCCGAGCTCTGCCGCGGGTTCCTCAGAGTCCGGCCGAGCGCGCCAGACGTTCAGGGCGCGCTCGGTCCGGGGTGCGCGCGCCGGCGGGGAAGAAGGAGCGCGCGTCCCGGGAAGCCGGCGGGGCCCGGGCGGGCGGGACATCTGCACCGCGCGCGGCCGGGCGGTGAGGCCGTGGCTCCTCCCCCCTCGCAGGGGGCGAGCTGGCGCTTCTGGGGCTGGGGGCGGTGGCAGGCGGCGGGCGGGGCGGTGCGCGGGGCTCGGCTAGCCTCGGCTCGTCTCGGCTGCGCTCGGCAGGCTGCGGTAAATCCGGGCTTGCGGCGGTTGGCGTAGTCTGTGGCCGGTGGTCTTTGCTGCGCGCCCCGAGCCCGGAGAACCATGCAGATGTCCTACGCCATCCGGTGCGCCTTCTACCAGCTGCTGCTGGCCGCGCTCATGCTGGTGGCGATGCTGCAGCTGCTCTACCTGTCGCTGCTGTCCGGACTACATGGGCAGGAGGAGCAAGACCAATATTTTGAGTTCTTTCCCCCGTCCCCACGGTCCGTGGACCAGGTCAAGGCCCAGCTCCGCACAGCGCTGGCCTCCGGAGGCGTCCTGGACGCCAGCGGCGATTACCGCGTCTACAGGGGCCTGCTGAAGACGACCCTGGACCCCAACGATGTGATCCTGGCCACGCACGCCAGCGTGGACAACCTGCTGCACCTGTCGGGTCTGCTGGAGCGCTGGGAGGGCCCGCTGTCCGTGTCGGTGTTCGCGGCCACCAAGGAGGAGGCGCAGCTGGCCACGGTGCTGGCCTACGCGCTAAGCAGCCACTGTCCCGACATGCGCGCCAGGGTTGCCATGCACCTCGTGTGCCCCTCGCGTTACGAGGCAGCTGTGCCTGACCCCCGGGAGCCAGGGGAGTTTGCCCTGCTGCGGTCCTGTCAGGAGGTCTTTGACAAGCTAGCCAGGGTGGCACAGCCCGGGATTAATTATGCGCTAGGCACCAATGTCTCCTACCCTAATAATCTGCTGAGGAATTTGGCTCGTGAGGGGGCCAACTATGCCCTGGTGATCGATGTGGACATGGTGCCCAGCGAGGGACTGTGGAGAGGCCTGCGGGAAATGCTGGATCAGAGCAACCAGTGGGGAGGCACCGCGCTCGTCGTGCCTGCCTTCGAGATCCGACGAGCCCGCCGCATGCCCATGAACAAAAACGAGCTGGTGCAGCTCTACCAGGTGGGCGAGGTTCGGCCCTTCTATTATGGGCTGTGCACCCCCTGCCAGGCACCCACCAATTATTCCCGTTGGGTCAACCTGCCAGAAGAGAGCCTGCTGCGGCCTGCCTACGTGGTGCCTTGGCAGGACCCCTGGGAGCCATTCTACGTGGCAGGAGGCAAGGTGCCCACCTTTGACGAGCGCTTTCGGCAGTACGGCTTCAACCGAATCAGCCAGGTGCTCATAAGGGAGAGGGCAGGGGTTGGGGCAGGAGGGGTGGTGGGATCAGGGAGTTACGAGGAGTGGCCCTGGATGGAAAAGAGGCAGTGAAGCAGGAGGGATCATAGTTTAGTAGGTGAGTGGATAGTATGGAAGATCCAGGATGCTTCCAGAGGGGTGAGGATGCTGGACTGTGGCTTGAGGGAAGTCAGTCTCAGCCCTGTAAATGTCATCAAATTTTGCTGACCCGTCTTTCCCCCTACAGGCCTGCGAGCTGCACATGGCGGGGTTTGATTTTGAGGTCCTGAACGAAGGTTTCTTGGTTCATAAGGGCTTCAAAGAAGCGTTGAAGTTCCATCCCCAAAAGGAGGCTGAAAATCAGCACAATAAGATCCTTTATCGCCAGTTCAAACAGGAGTTGAAGGCCAAGTACCCCAACTCTCCCCGACGCTGCTGAGCCCTTCCCTCCCCTGGTCTGAGAAGTTAGCCTCTTGGCTCCTCAGGCCACCCTTAGGCCTGACTGGGGTAAGAAATGTGACTCTACTTTACAGAGGTAGCTGTGGTGTTGAAACACTGGACTTGAATATGGGGTGCTGGGATTTAGTCCTAGCTTTACCACTAACTAGCTGTGTGGCCTTGAGTAAATCCCGTTACCTCTCTGGGCCTCAGTTACCCTGTCTGTAAAAAGGGAGGTGAAAATACCTACCTCACAGAACTGTTGGGAGGCTCAGATGAGACGCTATATGTGAAAACATTCTGTAAGCTTCGTACAAATGTGAAGTATTAATATTATCACAGTATTATTATTATTGTTATTAACAATCTTGGGTGGGTAGGAGAGCAAAAAGTATGAATGGGATGGAGCTAAGAAGGCTGAGTACTTAATGAAATGGACTTTTTGGAAAGAAATCAGATGAAGGCATAAAATTTAGTTCTTAGCTCTTGGGCAGAAGCCTAAAATTCCTGGTTCTCTCAGGCCTTCGGCCTCAGGAGCTCTGAAGGAGGGCAGGGTCTGCAGGCCCCATGGGTGACAGCCTCAGATCTGTCCCTTCAACAGGCCGGGCTGAGTATGTGCCTACCGATGACAATGTGTAAATAAATGAGTGTTCACACCCACAGCTGGCTCCGTTACTCTCTTGAGCTGGGGGTGGAGGGATCGGGGCCGGGTTCTCCCCTTGCACACGGTGGGGAGGTGGCCACGGACGAAGGTCGCCGCCTGCAAAGCACTGAAACCTCAGGGCCTTCCTTGCAGGCCAAAGGCCTGCGTGAACGTCGGCCGGTTGCTATGGAGACCGGCCCGCGGTATCCCAGCATGCCTCGGGACCCAACTGTCCAATTGTGAACACCGTCGACGGTCGCGTCCTGATGAAGCACACGGAAGCACCGAGGCTCTGCCTCCTCGAGAAGAGGGAGCCGCGCAGGTCTTACGGGAGGCCGGCGGCAGCAGCCGGTACCGGCAACCACGGGCACCTCTCAGGGAATCTCGGTCGTGAGGCCAGAGGCCCCAGTCCCCGCGGTGCGTATCGCCATGCATGGCTTTTGTTCAGCCTCTCGGGTTAGTCCAGCAGAGCCGGCACAATCTCCTCCTCCGAGCCCGAAGCAGCGATTTAACCGACCTGACGCGTGCTGGGCCGCGGGCCAGCCAGGAATGTTCCGGCCCGTGCCGGCTCATCTAGAAGGGAGCAGGAGGCTCCCTGGGCGCTGCGGAAAAGTTGGGTTGACCTGTGTGAGAGTGGGGAGGGTCTGCCTTCCCTGGGCGCCTGCCCCGGAGGAGCTGCCATTCTGAAAAGATAAATTGCCTGTGTACAGCGCTTTACAATGTGCTTTTCCATCCCTTACCACCTGCGAGCTCTTCAACACTCAGAGTAGGAATAGTTACCTGTTTTTTGCACCCGGGGCAAGGAGGGAAGGTTGTGACTTAACTCACTTATAATCAGAACCAGCGGGAGGAGAGAAAGGCTTCTGGAAGAGATAGGACTTACGCTGCGTCTTACAAAGTGAATATACTAACAGTGAAGAGGCATTGCAAATGTTGGGAACTGGCTTGGAGAACTGAGCTTTTCAGGTCAGGTTGAGGTCATTAGTGAAATTGTTGAGGAATGTGAACGCTCACCTAGGCCAGCCTTACAATGCACAACTTGAATCGGTGTCAAGGACAGTTTGCTACCATTACAGGGACCTGGGACTACCAAAAAGTAAAAGCTAATCTCTGCCTCACAATTTTGTTGTTGTTGTTGTTGTTGTTAAATTTGTATTTGCAAATCCTCCAGTCATCAAGTGAGCTAGTACTATGCTAGGCAAATAAGACGCATGTGCAGCCCCTGCCCTAATGAGGCTCATAGGCTGATTGGGAGGACAGACGGGAGAATGGGCAAATAGGAGATATAAATAAAGCTTCCTGGAGGGAGTGCTGTCTGCACTGTTCTAAAGGACTACAAAGCAGTGTCCAGAGAAGCTGGAAGAATATCACAGCGAAATAGAACCTGCAGGGGGCCGAGAGCTTATCTGCTGAGAGGACTGGTTATTCTTCCTTTTGGGTGATCTCTTGGCAGTACTTGGCACTATCGGTACAATTACTGCTGGGAAGTACTTGGCTTCCTTCTGAAATTCTTTCTCCAAGACTTCGGGTTTGCCTCTGCCTTTGTAGGAGTCTCCTCATCTGCCTCTTTGGTGACCCTGGGAGTCCCATTGTGGATGTCTTCTGACCACACACATTCTGCCTTGATACTTGCACCTTCTCCTGTGGCATGAAGAACTTGCTGTAGGCCGATGACCAAACCTCTGCAGCTCAGATTTCTCACTGAGATTTAGACCCATGTACCCCAGCTGCTTTCCTTCTCTTATTCTGGGTCTTTGCTACTAACTCGATCTGGAATATTCCCTCACTCAATCAGCACAGCTCACCCAGCTGGTCCATCTTCATCTAGAAGCCCTCCCTACTGCATCAGGCTTCAGGTCCTGGTTACATACCCCTCCCTTATACCCTGGTCTTAACTCTCCTCATACCAGAGTTATAGTCTGCTCCTTTGCCCCTGTCTCCCAAGAACTTGTAAACTCCGTGAGGTCAAAGACAGTCACACTTGGGGCCCCTGCATACCATAGTGCCTGACAGTACCTAGCATATATTAGATGTTCAATACATGTTAGATGAGTCAGTAAAAGAATGCTTACCAGTGTTCAGTGTTGCCGAGCAGACAATTGAAATAAGCACTGAAAAATATTGTCATTACCCATAAGGAAGTCACTGGTTAATGGTACAGGATCAGTTTCAGCTGAGATCGATGGGTACAGAAACACATCGAACAAGTGGAAGGTGAAACTAGGAACAGCCAGTGTGCATGAAACCTTGAAAAGTATAACTGAACTGGCAGACAGGGAGCAGTCAGGTGGAAGGGTGAGGTTTTGTGTTTCTGTGTTTTGTTAATGGTAGAAAATACTCAAGCACATTGAAAGTTTCATGGGAAGGAGGTTGCTAAGAGGGAGAAGCTGAAGACACAAAAGAGAGAGGGGAGCACTGATGACCTGAGGTCCTAGAGGAGGCAGAAGGAAATGGGATTTGACCCAGAGCACAGTGAAAGACAAGGGGATTGTAATGGTATCCAGAAGAGAAGCTGAGGGCATTATAGGGAGAAGGAACAGCTGAGGCAGAGGGCAGAAAGTGAAAGTGCAAGCACTGGCCGTTAGATGGTGGGATGAAGGAGCTGGACCGGGAGGGCAAGTGCAGTCTGTGAAAGACCTTGAAAGCCCCGGTCAGAAATGTAGATCCAGTTCAGATATGGTGGCACACACCTGTAATCCCAGCTACTCAGGAGGCTGAGCCAGGAGAATTGCTTGAACCCAGGAGGTGGAGGTTGCAGTGAGCCGAACTCATGCCACTCTAGCCTGGTGACAGAGTGAGACTCTGTCTCAAAAAAAAAGAATGAAAATTGGCTGGGTGTGGTGGCTCATGCCTGTAATCCTAGCACTTTGGAAGGCTGAGGTGGGCGAATCACAAGATCAGGAGTTGGAAACCAGCCTGGCCAACATGGTGAGATCCTGTCTCTACTAAAAATACAAAAAATTAACTGGGCATAGTGGCAGGCACCTGTAATCTTAGCTACTTGGGAGGCTGAGGCAGGAGAATCACTTGAACCCAGGAGGTGGAGGTTGCAGTGAGCCGAGATCGCGGCACTCACTCCAGCCTGGGCGACAGAGCGAGACTGTCTCAAAAAGAGAAAATAAAAATTTAGGTCCAGTTCCATAGGCAGTGGAGAGTGCCCCCTAGGCCTTTCCTTTCTGTGGATCACAGCCTTGGCCAGTATTCCCAGGATTAGGATCACCAGTGACATCCAAGAGCAGGAGCATTTCCACAGCTCCCAGGCTTCTGTGAGAGGTGCAGATGGCCATTTGCACCCTTATTACCCAGTATGTGCTCAAGGTGTGGCCAGGCCAGTCACTTCCTGGCTGTCCCAATCTGGGGTCTGGTCGGGTTCAGCTCCCCACTGCCTCTTTCCCCCTCTGAACAGAGGGCAGCTGTGAGTGATGGCTTCATTCCTTCTCCCAGAGTCCAGATGCCTGTCCAGCCTCCAAGCAAAGACACAGAAGAGATGGAAGCAGAGGGTGATTCGGCTGCTGAGATGAATGGGGAGGAGGAAGAGAGTGAGGAGGAGCGGAGCGGCAGCCAGACGGAGTCAGAAGAGGAGAGCTCTGGTGAGCCCCTGCACACACACACACACACACACACAGCCCCTACACACAAGCATGCATGTACACGCACGCACAGCCCCTACACACAGCCCCTACACACAAGCACACACCACCCCTCCACATAAGCACGCATGCACACACCACCCCTCCACATAAGCACGCATGCACACACAGCTCCTACATGCACACATGCACACACAGCTCCTACACACACACACACATGCACACACAACCCCTACACACATGCACACACAGCCCCTACTCACAAGCACACATGCACACAGCTCCTACACACAACACACAGCCCCTACACACAAGCACACACGCAAACACAGCCCCTACACACAAGCACACACACATGCACGTGCATATATAGCCCCTACACACAAGCACACATGCACACACAGCCTCTACACATAAGCACACACAGCCCTTACACAAATACACAGCTCCCACACACGCACACATGCATACACAGCCCCTGTGCACAGGCACACATGCACGTGCACAGATAGCCCCTACACACGAGCACACATGCACATGCACACACCACCCCTACACAGAAGCACACACGCACACACAGCCCCTACACACATGCACACACACACAGCCTCTACACACAAGCACACATGCACACAACCTCTACACACAAGTACACATGCACACCCACACAGCCTCTACACACAAGCACGCACACACACATAGCCTCTACAAACAAGCACACACATACACAGCCTCCACAAAGTACACATGCACACACACACAGCCTCTGCACACAAGCATGCACACATATACACAAACAGCCTCTACACACAAGCACACATGCACACAGCGTCTACACACAAACACACACACAAGATTGCACCAGCTTGCTTTACAACATGCTTCAGGGGGAGCTGCAAGAGCAGAGCCAGAGACTGGAGGAGGACTGCCAGAGCCTGGACGCGCGCGCACACACACACACACACACAAGCACGCACATGCACACACAGCCCCTACACACGCATGCAGATGCACACACACGTGGGTATCCGCCACGCCTCTCCAGAGCTACCCCTTACTGGCCTCTTGTCCAGAGATGGATGATGAGGACTATGAGCGGCGCCGCTGTGAGTGTGTCAGTGAGATGCTGGACCTAGAGAAGCAGTTCTCGGAGCTAAAGGAGAAGTGAGTGTGGGAATACCTTGGGCTGGGTCTGCGAGGATATGGGATGAGGAGGTGGCGGGCCTGGAACTGGGCAGGCATGGCTGGTGCCCAGGGAGTGCACGCCTGACATGGGTCTTGCTGTGCAATGGGTGCTGGGTATGTGTTTGTCCAAGAGCGATGGGTGAGCAAATGGGCTCACTGCTGCCTTCTCCCCACCCAGGCTGTTCAGGGAACGACTGAGTCAGCTGCGGTTGCGGCTGGAGGAAGTGGGGGCTGAGAGAGCCCCTGAATACACAGAGCCACTTGGGGGGCTGCAGCGGAGCCTCAAGATTCGCATTCAGGTGGCAGGTCTGTGGGTGGTTCTGTGCCCTATTCTCCTCCCAGAACCCATGGCACCCTGTCCCCTTCCTTTCTCGTTCCTGCCCAGCCTCACCCTTTGCTCTCAGCCCTCCTTTGTGGGCACTGGGCTCCCTAGACAAGCAGGGCCCCTCCTCCCGCCCTCTGCAGGGATCTACAAGGGCTTCTGTCTGGATGTGATCAGGAATAAGTACGAGTGTGAGCTGCAGGGAGCCAAACAGCACCTGGAGGTGGGCCTGAGGGCATACGGGGTGAGGCGGGTGCAAGGCCTGCAGTGGACTCCTCCTGTTCCTCCTGCTGAGCTATTGCCCGTCTTCTAGAGTGAGAAGCTGCTGCTCTACGATACGCTGCAGGGGGAGCTGCAGGAGCGGATCCAGAGGCTGGAGGAGGACCGCCAGAGCCTGGACCTCAGCTCCGGTGAGTGCCAGAGCCTGGCTCTGTCAACGCCCACCCGGCTCTGGACTTCAGCTTTCCTAACTGCACAAGGGGACAGTCAGACGACCTGCCTCTTGGGATCAGTGTGAGGACTGAAGGAAACCAGGCCTGGAAAGGGCCTGGCATACAATGGGGGCTCGGGCAGTGGGTCCCCCTGCCCTCTTCTGCCCCTGCTCTCTTTCCAAAACAGGTATCAATGTAACATGCAGTCCCATATAGTAGTTGTAGTCCCCTCCATGTTCACAGTACCAGTGTTCATGTGGAGTCCTGGGGTGGCAGGAATTGTCATTATCCCACTGTCCACTAAACAGATGAGGCTCAAGAAGTACAGTGGCCTCTTCCCGGGGTTGTGCATTTGGGACCTGAATAGCCCTAAGGGGCTTCCTATGGCAAGCCCAGGGTGGTGATGGGGCAAGGGAGGTGAGGCCAGGCTGGCCCATGGTGGGGGCAGAGGCTACAAAAGAGGGAGCATCCTGTGGGCCAGCACCCCAATTTTGACTCTGGGTCTGGGGGCAGAGTGGTGGGACGACAAATTGCACGCCAAAGGCAGCTCCAAGTCTTGGGACTCCCTGCCGCCCAGCAAGAGGAAGAAGGCACCTCTTGTTTCTGGTATCCTTTCACCCAAGGTGGCCTAAAAGTGGACAGGATCAGCTCCAGACCTGGAGTGGGGGGTGGAGAGGACATGGAGGACAGTCACATAGACGAACTCGTGGTTGCTTGGTGTCACGTGACCATGTCCAGGCAAATCCAGCTGTCAGCAGTTTCTTACAGGGTCCTGGGTCTCCCTGGGCTGTATGGTCCCTTGGAAAACAGAAATGGCTTGGGCTCAGTGGTGCACACCTCTAGTCCCAGCGCTTTGGGAGACCAAGGCAGGTAGATTGCTTGAGCCCAGGAGTTCATTTCAAGACCAGCTTGGGCAACATGGTGAAACCCATCTCTAGGTAAAAAGAATAAAAATAATCTAGGCATGGTGGGGCACACCGATAGTCCTGCTACTCTGAAGGCTGAGGCAAGAGAATTGCTTGAGCCTGGGAGGTTAAGGCTGCAGCGAGCTGTGATGGTGCCAGTGTACTTGAGCCTGCGTGAGGTTTGGCCTTTGAGGGCTTTCCGTCTCCCAGGGTGGTCCAAGCGGGTCCCCAGCTTTCCGTGGGCACCTTTGCTCACTTCCTACCCACCTCTTGAAAGTCCTGCCTGCCCCTGACCAGGGCTCATCTCAAACATTACCTCCTCTGTGAGGCCTCTCCTGGTCTTCCCCCAGTGCCTGGGGTGCCCACATTCCAGAGGGCACCGGCTGCCTCTGCCCCTCCCTAGACAGGGTTGGCTTATGCTTAGTCCAGGGCCTGCTGTGCCTTCATCTGTCCTGGCAGAGTTTAGTTCTCTTGCGCCCCTGAGGACATTCCTGCAGCAGCCACCTGGTGCTGGAGAGCAGGCCCAGGCAGGGAGGGAGGAATCTGGAAGGCCTGCGAATGAGAGGTGAAGGCATGGAGACATCAGGTAGGGAGCACTGGGGGAAGGGAGAAGTTGTCTCTGGAGGAACAAGCCCTGAATCTGTCTTTGGATGGGGGATGGGGTCAGTTGAGGGCTGGTGCTACAGGGTGAGATGGGATGGGCCTCAGCCAGCTGACCTCAAGACGAGACGAGGGCAATTAAGGGATGGCAGGCAACACTTGGTGTCCTCCATGGATTTGGTTCCAGGAGGACCCCGGGAACCAGGGTCTAAGAGGTAGAAGGTGGAACCTGAGCTCGGACCCAGGTCCTCAGCTCCCGCTCCATGCTGTCTGCTGCACCCCCACTCCCGAATGTCGGGTGGGTGACCCTGCCCCTGCCCTCATCACGTGCTGCCTCCACTGGGCTTCCTTGACCCCCACTACAGGCCCGTACATCGTGTATATGCTACAGGAGATCGACATCCTGGAGGACTGGACAGCTATCAAAAAGGTGGGGCTGCTGCTGCCCATGTCCCTTGCCCCACCTCAGGGCCCCCCCACCCTGGCAGCAGCTCTGCCATCTGCAGGCCTAGGAGTTCTCTGCTCACCAAGGCTCCCCTACCTTTAGCCCAGGGTCCCTGGATCGAAGTCGGCTCACAAGTCCTCTTGCTCGAGGTGGCCCTGGGAGAAGGGACTTGTAGTCTGTGTCAGCCCCTTCCTGTTCCAGGGCAGGTTTTGGTGGAGTGGGAGCGTGGTGGGAAGGCAGGAGAGCAGCTGAGCTGGCCAGTGGTCAAATGTATGGGAGCTCTGCCTGGGAGGGCCTATGCTCCCAGCCCTGGGGGTGTACTGAGGCAGCAACACGCATGCCACAGAAGTGGGGGGTGGGGACAGGGATTGCCAAGCTGGAGGTGGGCTCTCAGGGGGGCTTTTCTCACCCATCCAGGCTAGGGCAGCTGTGTCCCCTCAGAAGAGAAAATCGGATGGTAAGAACCATGGCTGTTGTACGGCCTCCCCTTCCCCCTCACCATCACCTTCCCTCAGCTCAGCCTCCAGGAGGGATCCCAGAGCGGCTGTGGCTGTCACAATCAGTGGCCCAAGACAGTTAAGATGATCTAGATTTGAGGGGTTTGCAGGAGTTTGAGGAGCAGGAACCAGGATGGGGTTGATGGAGCTTCCACTCAGGAGGAGTCAGGGAGGGCAGGGGAGCTGCTCAGGAGGCCTGTCCTGGGCCAGCCCAAAGCCGCTCCCCTCAGTAAGTGGCTACTTCCCTCCTTTTGGCTTCCTCAGTGGTGACAGTTTTCTCTTTCCTGCATATGCACAGGACCATGACCCTGCTGTTCACAGCCAGGGGACCCTCAGAGCCGCTGGCACGGCACCCAGGATTCTCATCTTCCTGCCACAGACAGGTGGACCCACAGGCCCCTCAGTGTCCACCCAGCCAGGCTCGTGGTGCTGCAGGGCCCTCCCCCCTCCCCGCCCCAGCTGGCACTGGACTCCTCTGCCCTCCTTGAGGCCTGCACAGCTGTGGCCGTGGAGCTGACCTGGCCAGTCAAAGCTGTTGTCTCCTGAGCCTCCTCCCACTCCTGAAGATCCACCTCTTAGGGCTCCCCTGACAGAAGACAGCTGAAGTCGAAGCCACATCCTCCTGCTGACCTTGGATGCAGGCAGGCTCCCCGGCCTCTAGGCCAGGAAGCCAGGCCCCACTGGCGGGAACTCTGAGTCAGACGTGGTGTCTGGAGGGCTGTCCACCCTGGCTGGAGCTGGAGGCAAGAAGCCAGGCCCCTAGGTTTTCTCAGGGCAGTTCTTGGTGTCTGCCTCCCAGATTTCAAGGACTGGAATTAAAACCTTTCCTGGAACTCTTGAGTGCCTTGTGTGTGCGTGTGATTTACCTTGCAAGAGAATCAGAGCTTCTGTGGGGAGTGCCTGAACCAGGCCGACTTCTGGGGTGCCAGTGACTCCTCACATTACCCAGCAGTGGCTGGAGCACTGTGCATAGGGCCAGGCTGGGGAGGCGGAGGTGGGGAGGTGGGCGCTGGGCACAGTTGGAAGCTGCTAGCGGAGCGCCTTGGGTAGGGAGGGTGGGTGCGTGTGCTTGGAGCCTGGGTCATGTCTGCACCTGTCCCAGTTGCCTGGCAGATTGGCAAGGCAGGCTGGCAGAGCCTGTGTGCGTGGGAGGCAGCCGACAGCAGCACCATGTGCTGGCGACCTCACAGCCAGACTCCCCCTGGTTAGCTCTGAGTGTCAGAACCACCCCCAGAACCTCAGTTAAGCAAAGAGGTTGGTTTCCATGGAGATGCAGCATCTTTTTTCCATGGCAACCTGAAATTCCAAAACCCAGGCTCAGGAATGAGTCATCGATGGACAGTAGAGGGTGCTCTCCCACAAGGCTGACCTGAGGCGGGGCAGATGAGCAACTGACCACAGACCCAGAGGTGCCCTAAGGGTGAAGGGAGTGGCTGGGGCCTGTGGAGACCCAGTCGGGCCTGCTTAACCGCTTCTCACCCATCTGCAATTTGAAGGGGAGGCTGCAGGAGGCCCTGTGTTGAGGTGGCACCCCCCAGCTGGGGCCATCAGAGTGGGGATAGCTAGCATGGAGGGGATCCCTGACCACTGAGCAGGGTCCAGAACAGAAGAGGCAGGCACTGGCCAGGCGGGGTGGACACACAAGAGTTAACTGGCGGGTGTGACAGGCGGACCGCCCTCAGGAAGTGTTACTCACTGGGGATGTGCGCGCCTTGCCTTCGGGCTGGATTCTCTTCCTGAAGCCGAAGGAGCTCCCAGCCATGGAAAGCCCTGGAGAGCCAGGCGCGGGCCTTCCTGGGGCCCCCAGCCCGTCCAGCTTCACTCCTGGACACCTGGAGAGAGAAAAGTTAGTGAAGTTGGCATGGCAGCCAGGTGGGACAGGGAGGGGCGGCAAGAGGAGAGCCTATCCCGGGACAGAGAAGGTGGGAAACCCGGGAGCAGGGAAGAGGTGAGTAAAGGTCCCAGCCCCCGGCCCCTGCTCAGATCTGGGTGCCTGCCCCCAGGCCAGCCCAGGATCCACTGTACGACGTACCCGATGCCAGCGGCAGGCAGGCAGGCGGGCCGCAACGGCCGGGGCGTGTTGTGAGCCTCCGGGAGCGCCTGCTGCTCACCCGGCCCGTGTGGCTACAGTTGCAAGCCAACGCGGCGGCTGCTCTGCACGTGCTAAGGACAGAGCCCCCGGGGGTGAGTCTTGCCTGACCTCCAGGGACTGGCCAGCCAGGGGTGGGAGGGAGAGGGGCCGGATGCCAAGGTCCTGAGCTGCCTGAACCCCATCCACTTGCAGACGTTCCTCGTGCGGAAATCGAACACTCGCCAGTGCCAGGCCCTGTGCATGCGGCTGCCCGAAGCCAGTGGCCCCTCCTTCGTCTCCAGCCACTACATCCTGGAGAGCCCTGGCGGTGAGGGGCTGACCTGGTGGGAAGGGTTGGAAGCAGGGAGGTTCCCCAGAGAAGCACCTCACTTCCCTCCTCTCTCAGGCATCTCCTTGGAGGGCTCAGAGCTCATGTTCCCGGACCTAGTCCAGCTCATCTGTGCCTACTGCCACACCCGGTGAGTCTGCCCACAGGGTGCCTGGTGTCCACGGGCCCTGCTCCTTGGGACAGCCCATCCTCCTCACCCCCTTCGGCCCAAGCATCCCTCACTCCCTTCTGCTCCCCTCTCTGGCCTCAGGGACATCCTTCTCCTCCCGCTCCAGCTCCCCACAGCCATCCAGCAGGCAGCCACCCACAAAGAGCTGGAGGCCATCTCCCATCTGGGCATTGGTAAGGGCTCCCTGCCACACATTGCACAGATGGACAAGCTGAGACTGAGGGAAAGGGAAGGCTCGCAGCACACAGCCCGAAGCCTTTCCTTGCTTAGGAGGCCTCCCCTAACCAACCCCAGAGGCCCCAGTTAGTTTCTTGTTCCCTAGAGTTCTGGAGCTCCTCCCTCAACATCAAGGCTCAGCGGGGCCCAGCTGGAGGCCCAGTGTTGCCCCAGTTGAAGGCCCGGTCCCCTCAAGAGCTGGACCAGGGCACCGGAGCCGCCCTGTGCTTCTTCAACCCCCTGTTCCCAGGGGACCTGGGGCCCACCAAGCGGGAGAAGTTCAAGAGAAGCTTCAAAGTGCGCGTGTCCACAGAGACCTCCAGCCCCCTGTCTCCACCTGCTGTGCCGCCTCCCCCTGTCCCCGTGCTGCCAGGGGCAGCCCCCAGCCAGGCAGAGCGGCTGCCCCCTTGCCAGCTGCTGCGGAGGGAGAGCTCAGTGGGGTATCGCGTGCCAGCAGGTGGTGGCCCTAGCCTTCCACCCCTGCCCTCCCTCCAGGAGGTGGACTGCGGCTCCCCCAGCAGCTCCGAGGAGGAGGGGGCAACAGGGTCCCAGGGGAGCCCAGCGACCTCACCCCACCTGGGCCGCCGGCGGCCTCTGCTTCGGTCCATGAGTGCCGCCTTCTGCTCCCTACTTGGGCCAGAGCGGCAGGTGGGCCGGGCTGCAGCGACACTGATACAGGACCGACACACAGCCGCCGGCCAGCTGGTGCAGGACCTACTGACCCAGGTGCGGGCCAGGCCTGAGCCTCAGGAGTTGCAGGGTGTCCGCCAGGCGCTGAGCCGGGCCCGGGCCATGCTGAGTGCAGAGCTGGGCCCTGAGAAGCTGCTGTCGCCTAAGAGGCTGGGTGAGGCTCCATCTCTCCATAGCTCCAGCACTGCCCCATCCGACCCTCTGCTCCCCTCCAGTGCCAGCCTGTCTGATTCTGTTCTGCTGCTTTACAAACCCACCGTCTTACCACTGTGCGGGAGAGTTCCACCCCCTCTCCCCCAACTCTCCCATCTCACCCAGTCTACCTCCTGCTTTCCTTGCCTCTCCTCCCCGATTCTACCCCTGCTCCCTTCTCTCCTGACCTCTGCCCCTACCTCCAGTCCTGCCCTGTTTCCCCTGACCCCTTCCTGCCCCTCCTCTGGCAGAGCATGTGCTGGAGAAGTCGCTGCATCGCTCTGTGCTCAAGCCTCTCCGGCCCATCCTGGCAGCCCGCCTGCGGCGCCGGCTTGCTGCAGACGGCTCCCTGGGACGCCTAGCTGAGGGCCTCCGCCTGGCCCGGGCACAGGGGCCTGGAGCCTTCGGGTCCCACCTGAGCCTGCCCTCCCCAGTAGAGATGGAGCAGGTGCGCCAGAAGCTGCTGCAGCTGCTCCGCACATACTCACCCAGTGCCCAGGTCAAGCGGCTTCTGCAGGCCTGCAAGCTGCTCTATACAGCTCTGAGGACCCAGGAGGGTATGTCCCTGCCACACCTCACCCTGCCCTGCCCCTCTGAGTCACAGGCGGGCCCCCCAGCGGCAGGTCCCCAGGACCCTGGAACAGCACTGTGGGGGAGAATGAGCCCACTCTCCTGTCTCACAAATGGTGAAACTGAGGCCCAGAGAGCAGCTTATCCTCTCCACAGCCCCTCTGTGGTTGCTAGGCCGGGGGGAGGGGTCACTGCCTAAAGCAAGGATTGCACCTGAAGCTTCTTCCTCTCACTGTGGCCCCACAGGGGAGGGCGCAGGTGCCGATGAGTTCCTGCCTTTGCTGAGCCTCGTCCTGGCCCACTGTGACCTTCCCGAGCTGCTGCTGGAGGCCGAGTACATGTCAGAGCTGCTGGAGCCCACACTGCTCACCGGAGAGGGTGAGGGACCCCCACCAACTTCCCTGTCTGGGTGGGCCCTGAATAAGCAGGGAAGTGGGGTGCCCCACTCCCAGCCTGAGCTGTGTTCTTCCACACTGTGTCCTAGGTGGCTACTACCTGACCAGCCTCTCTGCCAGCCTGGCCCTGCTGGGCGGCCTGGGCCAGGCCCACACCCTCCCACTGAGCCCCGTGCAGGAGCTGCGGCGCTCCCTCAGCCTCTGGGAGCAGCGCCACCTGCCTGCTACCCACTGCTTCCAGGTAACAGGCCCTCCACCGTGTCCTCAGAGCCAGACACCGTCCCCGCCCTTCACCTTCCTGTCCTTGGTGAAGAGTCCAGACTCTGTAGCCAGATCCTGGGTTCGAATTCTAGCTCTGCCACTGGGTTGTGGGAACTTGGACAAGTTATTTAACTACTTTGTGCCTCAGTTTTCTCATCAGTAAAATGGGGTAATAGGACCTACCTCCTGGGGTTGATGTGAAGATGAAATGAGTTAATGCAGGAGAGTGCTTGGGGCACAGACTACGTGCTATCAAAGCTTCGTCTCAGGCTCCTGGGCTCCCTGCTGGGCTGTCCTTGCACCTTCAGCTGTGGCCCACGAGCCCACCCCTGGAGCTCACAGGGCTTTTCCCACTTGGTTCTCCCACTGGATTTCTACCTCCCCATCTGTCCCCACACAGCCCACACTGGCCCCTCAGCTTTGGACCCAGATGCATGCCTGCCAGGACTGAGTACTTCCTTTCACTTCTCCTCCTGTATAGCACCTTCTCCGAGTAGCCTATCAAGACCCCAGCAGTGGCTGCACCTCCAAGACCCTGGCCGTGCCCCCAGAGGCCTCGATTGCCACCCTAAACCAGCTCTGTGCCACCAAGTTCCGAGTGACCCAGCCCAACAATTTCGGCCTCTTCCTGCACAAGGACCAGGGCTACCACCGCCTGCCCCCGGGAGCCCTGGCCCACAGGCTGCCCACCACAGGCTACCTCATCTACCGCCGGGCAGAGTGGCCTGAGACCCAGGGGTCTGCAACAGAGGAGGAGGGCGGTGGGCAGTCAGAGGCAGGGAGCAGAGGGGAGGACCAGGGATGCCGGGGAGATGGGGACGCTGAGGTCAAAGCTAGCCCCAGGGACATTCGGGAAGAGCCTGAGACAACTGCTGAAGGGGGCCAGGGTTGGGCCCGGGGAGGGCCTGCTCAGCCAGGGGAGCCAGA